AATAAGAAGAATGAATTTATATGAATGTCTTGAAGTAGATGATCAATGATATATAATTATATTATTTTAAAGGATTTAATTTTTGTATTTAATGGGATTATTATAATGAGAAATGGTAAAGTCTAATTTTTAGATATTTGGATTGGGGGAAGATGGATAATTATATATGAGTGTTGGTGTTAAAATAGTATAATTTTTGGGTTTTTTTATTTTTTATTCGAGTTAAAGTTTTTTTCTATATAACTGATTGCTTTAGGGTGCGTTAGTTCTGGGAAGTCGGGGAGGGGAGGCGATTAGGGGGAAATTATAATTTGATGTATTTAATTATTATAAGTATATAATGGAATTGTATTAATAAGAGGATATACTCGGCTGGTACCCCAAGTTGCACTCGATGAGGTGGTTAAGAAGGTGAAGGGGATGTAGAGAGGTGGTAAGAAAAGGAGGAGAGGTTGTAGGTTAAGGGGGAGGAAGGAGAGGTAAAGTGGATGAGGGTGGAGGCAAGGCGGGGACTGCCGAGTGTATCCGAAAATGTTTTGAGTATCTTTATTGTTTGTTGGTGTATATATATGCATCATTTGTATTTGTTGTTTTAATTGAAAAATTAATAAAAAATTTTATAAAAAAAAAAAATAGGTAGAAGTGTCCCAAGCAAAACCCCACCCCATAGTTCATCCAGTCAGTTCAAATTGTCCAATCCCCAGGTGTTAGGTTCCTCATGGGAAAGGGGAGATAACATCAGTCTGTCTCTGGTTTTAGCTGTGATGTTTAGGTGGCTCTTTGCACCTTCTCTGGGAGCGTGCAGATAAAGCAGTTGCCGGAGGTTGCATTCCATTCTTCCCCTCCCTTTGCTAACTGACAGTAAGAGATGGGAAAGTTCACAGAGAAATAACGCAGGAAAGCAAAGTGTTACATTGTAACGATACAGGAAGTCAATGAAATAACCCTCAAGCACTCCCCCCTCCCCCTAGGAGTATGGCAGGATGAGAGGAGAGTGAAATTCAGGTTAAAGTGAAAGAGGAAAAGATAGCAAAATGAGGAGGGGGACAAAGGTTAGGGGACCTATTAATATGGGTTCTGACAATGACTGGCTAGGCGTGGCCATCTGAGTGCTGCCAGGTGGGTGTGGGTGAGTGGGCGTGGCCGTGCCAATGCGAAGGATAAGGTGTGGATGACTCGGGGCTGATGACTCAGGGCGGGTGGGTGAGCGTGGCCAAGTAGATGCAACCATGTCGGTGTGGCTGGCTAGGGGGTGCCAGGTGGGCACGGCCAGGTGGGCGCAAAACAAATCGTCATGAGCAACTGGACGTGGAGCCAACTCGGCAGCCCACCAAACCAAAAATCACCCAGAGACATGCTGACAAACAAGAAGCAGGGAAGCAGCAAAATTTGAAAGGCAAAGGGTGGATTCCCCTCCCCTTAGAGAAATGCTCCTTTTTTCTTGCTGCTTCCTGAGTAGAGATTGCTTTCTCTGGCAGGGAAGGCAGGGGCTGAATGGATCCCCCCCTTTTGGTGAAATGGAGCATTTTTGCTCTGCTATCTCTGCCAGAGAAGACAGGGGCTGAACAGATCCCCCTCCCTTTGGTGAAACAGAGCATTTTTGCTCTGCTATCTCTGCCAGGGAAGGCAGGGGCTGAATGGATCCCCCCCAATTTGGTGAAACAGAGTGTTTTTTCTTGCTGCTTTCTGAGCAGAGATTTCTCTGCTATGTTTGGGGAGCTGGCTCACAACATGGAGCACATAAGGATGATCAGTGCTGGATGTAACATCTATGTTTCTTTAGAGTTATAAATCCAGAAATCTCACTAAGTCAAGGAAAGGATTCATCATTCCCCATTTGGTCAAATCCACAGAAATGGGGAAGGGGAGGGTGGAAATGGAGGAGAAGGAGGAGATAAATAGAAGGAGGGGAGGGTGGATATTTTATATTTTCAGTAGTTTGACATAGTTCTTGCTGTGATTTTGCCCCATTCCCCAAATACCCTAACAATAGATTTTGGATACCACTGTCCATCTCTATGTTCTGGTATTATTTTTGCAATATGAAACAAATTAGTTTTATGGTTATATACCATGTGTTATGCTTTATCCAGGTATTAAATTTTTAGATTATCACAATGCATTTAATAAAAGGTGATATTTCTTCTTGGTTCTCATTCCAGCCATTTATTTCTCTTGCCCTGCTTCCATATGTAGTGTTGGAAAGTCACTATGCATAGGAGGTGTACCAGTTTGTTTTCTTTGATTTCCTGACTTTATTGGTCTATGTCTTCCTATGCACATCATTACTTTGGACTATCAAGCAAGAGATCTTTATCTGCCTATCCTGTCAAGATTACAAGCAAGAGTTTGGAGGAGTGGCAGAGGGGTATTAATAAATTCATATGGTCGGGCAAAAAGCCAAGAGTTAAGTTTAAGATTATGCAAGATGCAAGGGAACGGGGAGGACTTAAAGCTCCTAATTTAAAATTGTATTATGATGCGGTGGTATTGACATGGATTAGTGATTGGTTAAATTTAACAAATAAGAATATACTTTCTCCTGAAGGATGGGATTTGTTATTTGGTTGGCAGGCATATTTAATCTATGATAAAAAGGTGGATACAAATTTTAAGGCTCATATCTTAAGGAGTGCCTTATTACTAGTCTGGAAGAAATATTATTATAAATTAAATTATAAAATTCCTATATGGGCAACTCCAGGACAGATAATAGAGGGGATATCTAGGGGAGTTAATTTGGATAGAGTTAACTCATGGGTTGCAAGATGTTGAATCTTATAACTGCTGCAAGATTATTAATTGCTCAATTTTGGAAAATTAAATGTTTACCCACTATAGAAGAATGGGTATTTAAAGTCTCAAACTTAGCAGAAATGGCCAAGATTTCCGCTTATGTGAAGGATTACTCACAAGAAAGATATATATTGGTTTGGAGAAGATGGATTGATTATATTGAGTTTAAATATGGAACCAAAAATATTATTTGGTTTTTGAATGAATTTCTGAATATTTAAAATTATGTTAATATTATGGTATGTAATAATTGTATATTTGTTTTTAAAAAAAGAGAGTTAAAGGAAGTTATAGATTTGTTAGATTAATAGTTGATTTATGTTAGTTAGATTATGATTATTTTATTGTTAATCCTGTGATTGGCTCTGGGAAGTGAAGGGGGGAGGGTTGGAGGGTTGGGTTTGGGGGAGGGGGGATTTATATTGTAAAAACTTTATAAAATTTTCAATAAAAATAAAAAAATAAAAAAAAGATTACAAGCAAGAGTAGCATAAGAACATAAATCATAAGAATATGAAAAAAAACACAAGCTTTGTCCTATCCTGCATTCTCAGAAACTGGATAGGCACTTGTCTTAAATGGTATAGGGTTTCCTTCTGGAGCAGGGAGTTGGACTAGAAGACCTCCAAGGTCCCTTCCAACTCTATTCTGATTGATTGATAAAGTGAGAACTTGATATCTATGAGAAGGCCACCCCACTAGATGGCTGAATGTTTAACCATCCTTACTAATAAATATACTGTAGATAAACAAAACCTATCATGTGAAGATAATCAGATAAAAATCTGATTAAGACTAAATTAAAAGGGTTAGTGAAACTGACAATTTTAATATGGCAGTTGGTTTAGAGAATTGTACAGGATTAATTGGACAATGAGTACACATTCTATAAACAAAGCACTTGTTTGATTAGGCTTTTATAACAGAATGTGGTTTCACATTTAAAGACATGATTAAAAGAAAATGCAATCTTTTATAGCACATTTGAAGATATGCCACAATGATGCATTTTTGTCCTAGTAGGTAAGAAAGTCAAGAGCAATTTCAAAGTATCCACTTTCCCTCATCCATCAAAATTCGTGAAATTGGTGATACACAAGAGTGTAGATCACATAGCAAAACACCCAAGAAGTCAAACTGTCCATATCTCATGTTTTTTGTTTTTCTTTGCTTTTTACCAACTTCCTTAAGTAAATATAGTAAATATATGTTTCCTCTTTGGTACATATAAATATTTGAGCTCATGGTATTGTTTACTTATCTTTATTCTATTGATATATAATTTTCTGTTTCTGTTTTTTATTAGTGGTATATGAATGGGAATAAATACTTTTCTGACTTATGGAATGTTATGGACACCCTTGGAATTTTCTACTTCATATCAGGAATTGTGTTCAGGTATGTTTCAGTTGACTCACGGTGATACTTCTGTTGCCTTGTGTTCAGAGCTAGAGGAACAAAAATATGCTATAATAATTATGTAAAAAACAAGTAATATATTGAAAATTTCTGCAGTTTTTCTCATTAATTTTCAATCAGATAGAAAAGTTACTGCTTTTGAAATTCATTTCCAAGGCAAAGAATATGTGAGAGAAATACATGGACACGGAATACTGGCGTTTTTTTAGGTGGCTGAAAGCAGTGCATTATGAAACTACTATTCTATCTTTCAGTGTACAATCAACTTTCCAAAATTTTAACACAATAAGACAACAGATTTGGCAGGGATTTTGGAGGTCTTCTAGTCCAAACCTTCTGCTTAAGCAGAAGACCCTATACCATTTGAGACAAATGGCTGTCCAATCTCTTCTTAAAAGCCTCCAGTGGTGGAGCACTCACAACTTCTGAAGAGAAGTCATTCCGCAGGTTTAAGGTTTTCACTGTCAGGAAATTTCTCTTTAGTTCTAAGTTGCTTCTCCCCTAATTAGTTGCCATCCATTGCTTCTTGTCCTGCCTACGGGTGCTTTGGAAAATAGGTTGACCCACTCTTGTTTGTGGGAGTCCAATTTCTCACACATTTCTCTGCTCTTCTCTTTCCCTCCGGGCCCCAACCCAGAAAGGTTGGGGAACTCTGGTATAGAGTCTTCTGCATGAGCAGGGGGTTGGACTAGAAGATCTTCAAAGTCCCATCCTACTCTATTATTCTGTTAATTAGATATCTTGGAAAGATATCTCAGGGGTATTTCTTACAAGAGTTTTTTCAGATTCAAACATCAAGATATTTACATCAACCCAGAGTGATGGAAAGAAATATAACTGTAAGAAACTGCCTTAATTAAGCCTCCCAAGAAAGCAGAACTCTTGAAACATCATTTCAAAAGGAACTTTTATTGGAAGGTGTTGACAGCAGTAGTAGAAGGCAGGATCTGAGGATTTCTCGGGTGAATCAATAGTTTAAAAGAGACAATGAAAACCCCATCCCAACTGTCCATCTGGACGATTCAAATAGGCCAATCTGCAGGTGTTAAAATGTCATGGGAATGGAGCAATAAGGCACTGCTTCCAAGGCTGTTAGGTCTCCATGCTTCTTCTCTGCGCCTGGAGATAAGGCAGATGGCCAGAGGCACATTCTATTCTCACCCCAAGGAAGAAACATCAAAGAGGATAGAGCAAGGAACAAAGCAAAGGAAATACACTGTAGCAACCCCGAGCTCCCCCTACCCCCAGAAGAATGGCAGAACCCGAAAGAGAACAGAAACCCTAATGTCCATAAGAGGGTTCTAACATTCTGGCCCCCCCCTTAAAAAAGAGAGATCCACCTGGAGAGAGAAGAAAATAATAACAGGGACAGACAAAAGATAAGGGTTAGTCAGATTTATCAGGATATTGAACATGAAATTTCTTTAGTAGCCTGGGGGCTCTGACATGTCTTTTATGAACCCACTCATTCTGGGAAGATAGGAGGTCTTTCCAAGCTATCAGGTATTGTGTTGACCCATGGTGCTTCCTAGAATCTAGGATCTCCTTGACTTCAAAATGTTCCCCTTTCACCATAATAGGTGGAGGAGAAGGAACTGTGGCTGGCCTTAAGGGTGAGCTTAGCTCATGTTTTAATAAACTACAGTGAAATAACAGATGAACCTGTCTTAATGTTTTTGGGAGTTCCAATTCTACTGTTACTGGGTTAATGACCTGTTTAATATAGGGAATGGTCCCACAAACTTCGGCCCTAATTTCTTTGATGGCTGTAGAGATTTTAAGTACTTTGTGGACAGGTATACTCCCCCCCCACTTTAAATGTCTTAGGTTCTACTTGCCTTTTATCTGCCTTAGCTTTGTAAGCTTTCCTAGCCTCCTCTAGCGCTTTTCTAACTATTGGCCACATATTTTGGAGTTGTGCGATCCATTCCTTCAGGGTGGGGATGGTGGGTTCATTAACCGGCAATTCAGACATTGGGTTGAAGCTTTGTCCTGTTGCGACCTGGAATGGGGTATAACCCATGCTGGAGTGTATGGCATTGTTGTAAGCCACTTCTGCAAAAGGAAGCAAGTCAGTCCAATTGTTGGTAATTAATAAAGCACCTTAAATATTGTTCTAGTACTGAGTTTGATCGTTCTGTCCTCGCATTTGTTTGCGGATGATGACAAGATGACAGGCCCTGGATGGTACCTAGGAGGTCCAAGGAGGCTCTCCAGAACTCTGAGGTGAATTGCCCCCCCCCGTCTGAAATTATGCGTTGCAGAGCCCCATTCAATCGGTAGATATGCTGTACAAACATTTTGGCTAGGACCTTAGCCGTGGAAATTTTCAGGCATGAGATAAAATGCACCTGTTTGGAGAATAAGTCTGTCACCACCCCAATGATAGTATTTCCTGCACTCTCCAATAGTTCCACAATAAAGTACATGGAAATTTCTCTCCAAGGTGCTGATAGGCCTGCTACTGCTTGTAAAAGGCCCGGCATTTTTCCTTGCCTCCATTTTGCAGCTGCGCAAATGGGGCAACTGGCTGCATAGCTTTCAATGTCTTTCTTTATGGACGGCCACCAGAACTGCCTCTTTACTAAGTAAAGTTTTTTCACAAACTCCAAGTGTCCAGCTACTTTTGACAGAGTTGCATGAATTTTAGTCTTTGGGCCTTGGGCACATATAGTTTTTCCCCCACCCATGGCAGCCCATCATCCATTGAGCAGAGGTTTTTGTGATTTAGGAACCATTCATCCATTTCCAGTGCTTGTCTAAACGCCAGTCCTGGTGCACTGTCTAGGGATTTTTGGATTTTTTGCTTGTGTCCATGTGGTGACTACCTCTGTTTTTGTACTATTGTATTGTAGCAGCCTTGATAAGGTATCGGCTAGAAAGTTCTTTCCCCCAGGTAGGTATTTGATGGTGAAGTTAAATTGGTGGAAGTGTTGGGACCACCTCACTTGTTTTGCGGACTGTTTCCTTGGGTTTTTTAATGCTTCCAGGTGATCAGTCCACACTTGGAAAGGGATTTTATTTCCTTCCAAGAAATACCTCCATGTGAGGCACGGCATAGGCTTCCTTCTCCCATACCATCCACCTCTGCTTGGTTTCTGTGAATTTTCTCGAGGTGTATACACAAGGTTGTAACTGGCCTTCTTGGTTTTCTTGGAGCAGGACTGCCCCTACCACATCACTAGCGTCTGCCTGAATGACAAAAGGTTTTTCTGGGTCTGGGTGTTTTAGGATTGGCTCAGCTGAGAAAAGTCTCTTTAGTTTTTCAAATGTGGCCTGACATTCCATAGTCCATTTCAGTGGTTGGCTAGATTTCGGCTTTCCCTCCCCCTCAATTTTAGTAAATTGGTAATGGGAAGCACTATCTGCGCAAAAGAGGGGATGAACTGTCGGTAGAAGTTAGAGAACCCCAGAAAGCTTTGCAATTGCCTTCTTGTGCATGGTGGTGCCCATTTTAGCACCGCCCAGACCTTTTCTGGATTCATCTCTATCCCATTATGAGAGATGCAATACCCCAAATAGTCAATTTTTTCCTTATGGAATTCACACTTTGACAGCTTGGCATAAAGTCGGGCAGCATGCAGCTTTTTTAGAACCACTCTGACTAGTTTGACATGCTCCTCTTTCATTTCGGTGAAAATTAAGATGTCATCGAAATACACCAGAACCCCCTTGTAAAGGTGCTCCTGAATGACCTCATTTATCAGCTGCATGAACACAGCTGGGGCACCTTGTAGTCCAAATGGGAGTACCCTGAATAGGAAGCACCCTAGGGGGTGGTTAAACACTGTCTTCCATTCGTCTCCCTCCTTAATCCTGACCCGGTAATATGCCTCCTGTAGGTCCAATTTTGAGAATATTTTCCCCTTCACTAGGTGAGCCAACATGTCCTTCATTAGTGGCAAGGGGTAGATATTGTTTTCACACACTGCATTCAAGGATCTATAGTCCATGCTGAGGCAAAGGGACCCGTCTTTCTTTTCATGGAACAGCATTGGGCCCGCCGTTTTTGGTCTTGCCAGCTGTATGAAGCCTCGCACTAAATTTTTCTCTATTAATTTCTGAAACTCTTCCAGCTCCCAGGGAGTCATTGAGTACATTTTGGGCTTAGGTAATTTGGCTCCCAATAGGATCTCAATGGAACAGTCAGTGGGACGATGGGGGGGTAGCTCGTCGGACCATTCTTCGCTGATCCCGGTATTCCTTGGGTACAGTTTCCAACCTCTGATCTTTTGCAGTTGCTACCATCTCGGGAGCTCCTTTCCTCTTGGGTCTGTGGGTTCCCCCCTCCCCCGTGCAGTGAGCCTCTCTATTGGAAACATCAGCTCTCCTGTCCTCCAGTCCATCCTTGGATTCCACTTCCTTAGCCACATCATCTCCCAAATTAGGGGCCACTCCATGCTGGGGGGTCATTATAAAAGTCAAAGTCTCAGTGTGATCCCCCATCGTGAGCTCTAGCTGGGTTTCCCCCTGAGATGGACCCATCTAGCTGGCCAAATGAAATTGGTTTCTTCAGCCTCCTCACTAGATTCCCCACTAAGGTTGGGCTTATTAAGCAACAGGTACAACCCAAGTCCAACAGAGCCTTTAGGGTTACTTTTCTTGGCATTCCTGGACTTAATCATTTTATTGTTCTGGTGAGGGGCATGGTGGGTCCAATTACCAGGGGTTCATTCTTGGAGTTGCTGTCAGGCAAGTCCTGTAGCTTTCCTGCCAGGGCCAGAGTTCCTTCCCCCGGGATCCTGGGGGATTGAACCTCGACGACCTCAGTGCTCTCCATGGTGGTCTCCCTGGATCGTTGGGGAGTCTTCCCAGGCTTCCCTCCACCATATCGGTCTGGCTTGCACACTGGAGTTTTAAAATGGCATTCTGCAGCCCAGTGCCCTTCTTTACCGCATTTGAAGCAGGTCGCTGTGGGGGGTTTTGTCACCTCTCATTTTCCCTTTGAGGGGAAGCGTCTCCATGTTGGGGCTTGGTCG